AGTTAATGGTGTGCTATGGGATTAGACTGGTAATATTCGTTATTTTTTCCCAAGTTGTGTCATAGTGAATTAGTTGTGATTGAGGAAATGATAGTTATATTATGTAATAATAGTACAAAGGAAGTGAAGAACTTTTTAATAGAAAATGATTCCCTTGTGATTGTTTAATGGGTGAGAAATGATAAAGCTCTATGGCATTTTAATAATGTTGACAATTTTATTATGGATGTGAAACAGAGGTTGAGATATGTGAACTTTATTAATATTAATCGGAAGAGGAATTCATTAGCAAATAGTCTTGGGAAAATGAATGTTAATCGAGAGGACTTTTATGTTGGTTATAGTTCTGTGCTTTTTTTTTTTTTTTGTTTGCCACGTCGAATCTTGATACTATGGACCAAGACTATCTTGTATAAGAATTGTTCAAAAATCTCATATGGTGTGAGTGTGGATTGGTTTCTAACGTGTGTTTGATTATTTTGCATGTATTAATTTCTTAACTAGTAACATGTGCTTTATTGATAATGGAGTTTAAAGTTATTTAGGTTGTGTGGATAGGATTGTTTTATATTAGGTCTTTAGAAGATTATTTATTTTGTCGGAGATTGATTCTTTTAACTGTTTAATTTATTCTTTTTTATTTTTAAGAATGTTTATTTAATTATTAACCATATCGATGATTAAATTATGCGTGTCTTGTAACTACTTTCCTTTCATGTTTATTCTAGTGTGCAAGCCCTTGATGGTTAATGGTTAATTTTCTTTATTTGGTTATAATTATTTGTCTGGCTCTTTTTCTTTTTGGATGCCTTGAATTATCATCGCATACGTGTGGGACAAAGGTATTTTGTGGGGGTTTTATTGTGCTTGTTTCTTTAATGTGATGCCTTCCTCATTACTAGCTTAAATGGGTCATGGATGGTCTCTAGGTAGCTTTTGCTAAAAGGTTCTCTTGCCCTTTGGGTTGGAGTGTTTTACGTTTGGTATTTGTGTATGCAAAACAATTGAGATTTTTTTTTGGTCATAATGTATTTTTCTGGTGTTTTGGTAATTTATCTTCTTTGTAATTATGGTTATATATTAATAATATAATTGTATTAAATCATTTACTTTATTAATTATTTTTGTGATCATGTTATCAGTAGTCATAGTTTTATATGACTTTTTAACTTAAGATTAAAACCTTGTTTAAGAAATCTAGGCACGCGTTGACCTGTGCGTAATAGGAGAAAAAATGATACCGTTTTGGATTTTTCAGTTCGCCTAAACCCAATATATTTAATAATTAATTTATATTTACTCATTTTTAATTTATAATTATCTTCTTCATCGAAGAGAGCAATTATATTTAAATAAATATTGTTTTTTCAATCATAAATGTTGCTTATTTTAGTGAATTATAATTGGCTGTTTGGCATTCGCGGCCTTGTTTATGCATGAAAGATTCCTGACATATATAAATAAATAAATAATTAATTAATTAATTCATATATGTATAGGAATGACTTTCATGTATCAAAATACACTAATGTTTCTCAATATTACGTAACTCACATTGCCTCTAATTTCCTCTGCCGAGTATGCAATTCAAGTTGAGAATGTTAATGACAGTTCTAATTTTAATGTTTAATGTTTAATGATTAATAACACAAGATTTGTACAAATATGAAAACGCATTTAATTAAAAGTATAACATATTCAATTGCATTTAATGAAGAACCTTTAATGGTTGTACGGTCTCTAAAATTTGCTGCTACTACCTTACCATCTTGTAGTTTTATTTTTTATTTTTTAAATTATATATTCTTTAATTTATAAAAATTAAATGAAGCAAGATTGAGATATGATTTTTTTTTTATATATATTATAAATAATGATTTAATTAGGGTTGATGGGACATGCACACTTGTCGTGCTAAGTTTTAATCATATGGTATGCCATGTTACAAGAGGAATGTTAATGATATTAAGGTGCAATTATGAAAAGTCATTAATTGAATATGCGTAATTAAATAGGATTGGATACGTTAGGCCTTTGATTGAAACATAAAAAATGTTTTAACTCTTGGATATAAAGTTTAGTCAATGT